ACCATCACATCTTGAAAAAATTTGCCTTTAACCCCTAGGATCTGGGTGATGTGACTGTCCCCTCATGGAAAAATTTGGGCCTAGGGCCAGGTGAGGTGAACACACTGTCATAAGACAAATTGGTCACGGGCCAAGTATGATAAAACTGATTTGGCACTTAGAAGGGGGCTTTTGCATTATTCCCATCGATAAATGAATGTGGAATGAAATGTGCGTAAAACAAAAACGTGACTGGAAGAGTGCTGGCTCTAGGGAGGATGCCATTTCCTTTGTATTCCTGGCCACTGTAACCAGCAGTGTAGGTTTTATTGTGGAAAATTTAAAATTATGAAAAATAAGATATATGACACAAATAACCAAATGTTAGTTTTTTCTTTCTAATTTCGACTGAATAAGGAATGACTTGCCACGAGTGCGCAAAGGTTTTGGTGGGTAATTAAATTACCTGGGCACTTAAGAAGGGGCTTCTGTATTATTTCAATCAATAACAAGTGTGGAATGTACCATCCCTGAGCCATGACTGGAAGAATGCTGGCTCCAGGGAGAACACCATTTCCATACTCAGGATCCTAATGCTTCCTACCATGATTGGTGGCATAGGTTGTATTACAAAAAATTTAATTTAAGAAAATGGGGGGGGGGGGGTACTTATCGCTATGATCAATGCACTGAGTCATGGACTACCTGGAGAGATGACATGGAGTCTGTGCATGGATGCAGCATATCAAATGACAAATACAGACTGGAAAATACAGACTGCTGCCTGGGTAAGGAGTCTTAACTCCCCCCATCAGAGTTTGTGTGCACTCGGCTTACAAGCCACACACCTGTGAGTGTGGCCACTCAAGTAAGCCTTATGCCCAGATTTTATGCCATGTGAAGGCAGCAAAGCACCTTCAATCAAGGGGCTAAGAATAGGCATGAATAAATCATAATACAATCAATAGAAAAAAGTAACAATATATTCCCAAAATTAAGTAAAAGCTAAATATCTAAGTAATAACATTATAACAGAAGCAAAAAGTCATTCACTCATAGTAATTATACTGCTGTTATCTTGGCACTGGTTTAATTTGTAGCCACAATTCTACCTAATTTGCTTCTTGTTCCCCCATAACTGATAATTCTCAATGCAACTTTGCTACAATTCTTAAAGTAATGTTTGATGTTATCAAATAATGCATATAAGGTTTATATCACTTATTCTTTGAAAATTTTACTTCTCTGCAATCAGTTTATTTAATTTCAGGTACATAATAATATATGATAATCATACTTAGTCTGTTGTCTATTTATTGCCATGTTTAGTCTTATGTTTTGTTTATATGTGTTAAAAAAACAAAGTGAACATGAAAAGTTGCATTCTAACCTGATATCATTCTTAACTCTGACCAGAAATCAATATTGTTTAAAAATATTTAACATCTCTCTAGAGAGTTAATTCTTCAAAATATATTAAATATTACTGTTTCTAATTTTTTTGCCCCATGCCATTAGAAAAATTTGTTCACTCTAGTTTTCCTTAGTGAAATACCTCTACACATATATGACTCCACAAGTGCTCAGCCACCAAGTCAATTAATAGTGCTCCTGACCTCTCCTGATTTAGCCTTTCCTTGAGTAAAAAAACTAATGCTATCAATATTGATGCTGTTATTTTTACTATACATTATAATCATTATATTATCAATTTTACTAAATATACGACAAAATCAATATTTTCAAAAATCAGGAAAGGGATAGTAAACATGTGACATGGGTAGTACTAGAAATTGACTCCTTTGTAACTAAGTACTTTTGGAGCCTTGTATGTGCATAGATGGCCATAAGAAAATGCTGTGTTCACTTTAGTCTTCTGTTGAATATCTGCACATAGATGGCACTTCTTGTAATTTGCTCATTGGTGACCTAGTACTTGTAGAGCCATCTATACGTAAAAACAATTACTAAATTAAACACATATTGGATATAGCATGTATGCACATGCCATCCCCGGCAGCATGTGGTTAATAACCTAAACTCAAAGAAGAATAAGCCTGATTATTATCTGTGGATATAATTTAAATGATTAAATGGACAGTGAAATGAACACTTTATATTTTCTAACCACATCCATATCTATGGAAAAGGAGTGTTGCTCCTGGAAGGATATGAAATAAGGGGACTATAGTACTTCATAATTAATCCTAAAATCATCACAATATTAGTTAAATTCCAAATCCAATAATAAATTCTAATAATAAACATTTCAAAGGAAAAGATATAATCCTAATGGATATTACTTAACACTATATACTGAATTATCAAAACTATTCTGAGTGAATAAATGAAGATTTAGCACAAAAATATAGGTGCTCAGGGCTTAAGCATGAGTACCTAAGTATATGGGTGCTGTGTACTATATTAAGACATGAACATAGACCTTATATTTAGTGCATACATAAGTGTAAGAGAAGGAACACAGTGGGCAAAATAGAAAGGCACAAACACTTGTACTTGA